CATATGGCTAATGACATGTTGGACCATTTGGTGGACGTGTAACCCAACTATTTTTAATGATGTAATTGGTAATCAAGTAGACATTGTAGATAAAGTGATGCATATTTCAAGCTTGGTTGGAATATCTCTCCAAATCCTTAACCAAATGTAAGTAAGTTCTATGATGGTATAAATGTCCCATTAATTTTTTTAAATAGGATATCTTGGTTGAGGTTGTGGGTGAAATTGGTGTTTGTATACTATAATTTGTATTTGAATTGGTGTACTTCTATGTCCTATCAATATATTGTTGCTTATTTAAAAAAATGTAAATTTACTCACGTTACAATATTGATGACTCATTAATCCTAATTTTATTTTAGCTTTACAACCTAAAATGTTTTTATTTATTACATATGTTCTTTTTTTTAAGGACGTATTTGTGAAGAAAAAAAGCATTTTCATTTTGCTGCATGTACTTTTTAATATCACATGTAGAAAAATGAGAACGTTTTTTTATAGAAAGTGTAGTAAATCTTACATAATAATTTTTAAAATGGTTAATTCAGTTTAATAATAATAACGTTTCTATTGAAAAGTACTCTTAAAGAAATTAATAACATATTGTGAATGTGCATAGTACAATCAAATTTTCATAATTGATGATACTAATTTTAAAGAAATTGCATAGAGATTATGAAGAATCGAATGATAAAAAAATCACATTTATTTAGTTTTAAAGAGGAAAATGTCAAATGAAGAGATAGAATATTATTATCCAAATAAAAGACAATAATAACATATTGTGATTGTGGGGTGGAGGTTCATTTAAAAGATGACAAATGCTAACGTAGCAAGTAGCTAAATCACATATATAATATAAGGTGGAAGTGAGAAAATACATAAATTGACAGCTTGAGATGTTTAATTTAGAACAACTAAAGTTTATATAGGACAGCGAATCACAATTGACAACAAGACGGTTTGGCCGAGTGGTCTAAGGCGCTAGATTTAGGCTCTAGTCCGAAAGGGCGTGGGTTCAAATCCCACAGCCGTCAATATTTTTCAATTAAAATACGGTTTTTATCACTTTTTAGTTCTTTCCACACCGAACCATATCACTTTTTAGTTCTTTCCACAGCGAACCAAAAGCTGACGCGCGTGCTTTGCCTTATTAATTATAGCTAAGTATTTTTCGTTTAAAATGAGGGAAAAATTAGAGCTTTTTATATAACATAATCCATAAATAAATATCTGTTTCTAACCTTTTTAAAAAAAATGATTTCATTCAATAAAATAAATTCTTTTTAATATATTTTTTCTTTTGAGTAGTTGTTCATAAAAAAAAATTGTGTGATTGTTATTTTATTAAAATACCTTATAAAAAATATATTCATTGTTCAATGTTAAAATTAGTATTTACTTTATAACAAATAAGTTACAAAAAATAAACTTTTATTATTTTTAGAAATACAATAATAAAAACATTTTTTAAAATTACTTTTTAAAATGAAATATAAATTCTCTTAATATCAAGCACAAATATTAAAATCAATATTGAATATTATGTTATACTCGTTGATGAATCAATAAATGATATTAAGCATAAACATCATATAAACCACATAAAAATAATAGATAAAATCAGTAATTGCGTTCAAGAGTACACGGGTTATTCTTAAGAAATGGTATTAAGCTACTCATAATGCAATTAAACATATTAGAAAGAGTTGAGAAACAATATATGAATCGTACAATGAAATAATTAGGACTTCAATGGTCATAAGGCATTAACTTACTTTGCAAAAGTTCTTTAAAAACAAAATTTAAATTCCATATTATTTTATACTGATACAGAAAATAGATATTAAGTTAAGGATAACCACTATGGAAGACCGTTTATATGGTGGAAGACCTTTTTATATGGTTCAAAAGTATTATTATGTCGGTCTCAACCGTCGTAATTAGTAAATTGACTTGTATTTCCTCTTCGGATAATATGAGTGGGGGCTTTGGGATTTTAGCGTAACTTGTTCTTCCGCGAACATTCAATATTAGAGAACAATAAGAATCTCCTTAACTACCTCATCATAGTTCTTCTCCGCTATCACCTTAGCATATTCGTATGTATGCATAAAAACCTTTTCATCACCAATGGCTTTATGACACTTAATGACAACCTTCTCAAGAGAGATTACACTCTCTTTCAACTCAGAGGAGGCTCTAATTTTTTGACCTCCTTCTCAAACTTGGAAATACAATAAGGAAGCTCTTTGTTGGACTTTTGGACAACCAAAGGATTTTCTCTCAACTTATTCTTTTTCTTCTTCTTCTTCTCTCTCTCTCTCTCTCTCTCTCTCTCTCTCTCTCTCTCTCTCTCTCTCTCTCTCTCTCTCTCAAAATCCTTCTTCAGGTCCTCAAAAGACTTCCTTATCTTTCTATTGCGCTGCCAAAACTTTCTCATAGTCCTCTTTAGAGTCTTCCAACTTTTTTTCAGGGCATCTCTCTCCTTATGAATCTTCTCCAAACTGAAAACCTTGCTCTGACCACTAGCCATCATGTAATTGATAACATAAATCCTTTGCAGGTGATTGAGGGATTGTGTGACCAACTCCTAGACATTAGGACAATTCTTTTGAGGTAAGAAATTGAAGTCACTTTTTTCATTAATTCCTCGGTAATCTTTCACAAACTTTGGGACATTAGGGGCAAACATTGCTAGAAGTTTGAAGAAGAGGAACTAGATGGGTGAACCTTTGAAGTAGGAGGAAGATAATTATTATTATCTAGTGTGAGATTTCTCTGTATGGGATTTGTCTTTGGGTTTTTTCCAAAACGCTCCTCGATCACGGATGTTAATCCCTCTTCTTTAATTCAGTGTCACCTTTAGCTGGAGATAGGCACTATGAGCGAACTGATCAACCATTTCTAGAACCTCGAACTTCTTCTCTGCCGAAGGATTGGACGACGACCCTCAAATAATATGGGAAGAGGTGAAATTTACCCTTTTCTTCCTTAAGAGTAGCTTTGTTATATTCCTCTTCTCATTTGCAGTAAAACTATATACCATATATTACAAGAATTTTAGCAAGATTAATAGTAAAATAAAAAGTAAAATATAATTAGGCTACTCCTTACCAAAAAAATATTTTCTTTTTTCTTTACTTTATGCCTCAAGTAGTAAATGGGTTTGAATACATCAAATTTTCTTCTTCTCTTTGGTATCATCCTCAAGAACAATCTTTATCTCACATTCAAAGGAAATTAAGGCAAGGTGTACATATATAGACATGGTAAATGATTCATTCTTAGAACGATACAACAGAGTTTATGTCAATTATGGTTCGACAACTAAGGTGAATGTTCAACCAACTCAATATAAGAAAGTTGATAAGAGGTCTCATTTCAAAATATTATACATGTGTTATGCCACATGTAAGAAGAGATTCAAACTATCCAGATTGAACTTGATGAATATTTTTAAAGGGCCTATATGAAGGACAATTATGTCACTTTGTCTTTCAATTCTCCCTCATATTGAACTAGTTTATGCCCTTGATTTTCATTTGTTTTTGTTAAAATTTCCAACCACATTTTCTGCTTTATGATAAAAATATCTTTCTCATTTTCCACTTTATCATAAAACCAATCAAAATAAATGCACCCTGTTTGAGTAATCCCCTACATAAATTTATAAAAACATCACTCATTATCCCAAAAAAAAATTAATGAAGGATTATAAATATCTTATCCTATAATATGGACATTCCTGAAATTACTTCCTAAAATTAATATTTGTTGTAGTCCTTCTAAACACATAAAAGTTATCACACTAACAATTAAGTCTCCATCACTTCTTTAAAGTAGAGAAACCTTCGATTTGGAATTATTTGTGTTGTCTCCCTCATTACCAGTCACTTTATGAGAGAGACGAATTTGAAGAACACGTTATTGTTCTTCGATTTTAAAATGATAATGCCTTGACAGAACAAGATGGTGATAACGAACACAAGATTGAAGATGAAAACAATGAAGCCCTAATTTTACAAATAATTGTACATTGAAGAATACAAGGTTTATAACATAAGAATTTGACATGGGTGTCACGAAAATAAACACTTTTAAAATTATATTAACCTAAACTAAAAGATATGAAACTTAAACTAAAAGATATTAACCTAAACTAAAATTATATTAACCTTAATAAAACTTATGGACCAAAATAAACACTTTTAAAATTATGAAATCAATATAAACTCAAACTAAAAGATAAGAGACGGAAAAAAATATATTAACCTAAATTAAAAATGGATTTTGTGTAAAAAATGTAACACTATCCACAAATCTATATTTACAATTTTATAAGTAATTTTAACTAAAGTAAAATATTCCTAAAATTTTAATGGTTATAATATACAAACCGTGTAAAAAAATATTTAAGTTGAAAGCGGGTATAAATTAAAATGTGGAAATTATTTTATTCGAAAAATCTGGAAATGCCATGTGGCATTGGAAAGTTGGTTGGAGGAAGAAATGACAAAGGAAGAAGCCGGGATCGTTACAATGGGCAGTTAGTTGGTTTGGGAAGAAGTTCCGTTCCAACTCTGCAAAACCAAAAAACCTTTTTTTTGTTATATCACAAATCTTCTTTAATCTCTCTTAATTTTAATCCTTCCCGTTCCTCTCTCCGCTTCATATCTCCATTTGTTTTTTGCTATTCATTGTTTTTTTAAGGTATTTCTTCTCATTCATTCATCTTTTCCTTTCAATCCTCATTGTCTTCTATTCTATGCGTTCCAATCTCAATTCATGTATGTTGATTTTCTTACCTTTGGTTTATTTAATTTTTTGTTACATCCACGTTTATGTATTGGTGTATTTTTTAAATTGATCGTAACAACTTGTTCATTGTATGGTTTATTAATTAATCAATGATTAAAATCCTTATATTCATATGATTAAACGACGAACAATTATTTTTGTTTATTTTTGTAGGTTCTTTGGTTAGTATAGAATCAAAGATGCCGGGTATTGTGAAAAATGAAGCAAAAGCAATGAAAGAGTTTGAGAATCATTCTCTCTCTAAGAGCATCTTAAATCTAACCAATTCACCACAAAGTGTATGTGATATGCACTTTTCTCGTCGATCACCTTCGACTAGTAGAAGCTTTGGATCCGAGAGTGATTGGTCTATAACGGATTCGGAATTTTCCCATTTTGGTGGAGAACAAGTGAGGAAGTTGGAGATTGTGAAAGAGGAAATGGAGAAAGGTATAAAGAGGGATTCAAGAGCTAAGGGAAGAAGTCCTAATGCAAAACCTCCTATTGAAAGGAAGGGTGAGAATTGTCTTTTGAGAAAGCAAAATACAACGGTTACTAATCGTGTTATAAAACTGAATAGTTCTTCGGCTGGAAGATCAAGGTCGCAAAGTCAAGTCGAGAATTCCAAAGAATCGATGTTAGATAATCCTGAACTTGGACCGTTTTTGCTAAAGCAGGCGAGGGACTTGATTTCATTAGGAGAGAATCCTCGGAGCGCTCTAGAATTATCGATTCAAGCAATGTCAATGTTTGAGAAATCTGCTAATGGGAAACCGAGTTTGGATTTGGTTATGTGTTTGCATGTTATTGCAGCAATATATTGCAGCTTGGGGCATTACAATGAGGCCATTCCAATTTTAGAGAGATCGGTCGAGATTCCTGTTGTTGGGGAAGGTCAACAACATGCCATAGCGAAATTCGCCAGTTTCATGCAGCTTGGAGACACTTATGCCATGCTAGGCCAGCTTGAGAAGTCAATTATGTGTTACACGAAAGGGTTGGAAGTGCAAAGAATGGTTTTAGGAGTAACAGATCCAAGAGTTGGTGAAACTTGTAGGTATGTAGCAGAAGCTAATTTTCAAGCATTGCGATTTGATGAGGCGGAGAGGCTTTGTCAAATGGCTCTTGATATTCATGGAGCAAATGGTTCACATTCTTCTCTCGAAGAGGCGGCGGATAGAAGATTGATGGGACTTATATGTGAAACTAATGGAAATCATGAGGCTGCATTGGAGAATCTTGTTTTAGCAAGCATTGCAATGGTATCAAATGGTCAAGAAGTGGAAGTGGCGTCTGTTGATTGCAGCATCGGAGACACATTTCTGTCGTTGGCACGATACGATGAGGCCATCTTGGCTTATAAAAAGGCCTTGGCGGTTTTCAAGACTCACAAAGGAGAGAATCATCCTGCTGTTGGATCGGTCTTTGTACGTTTGGCTGAGTTGTATAGTAGGACATGGAAAACAAGAGAATCAAAATCATATTGCGAGAATGCACTTAAAATCTATGAAAATCCCATGTCAGGTGTCCCTTCTGACCAAATTGCTAGTGGTTTTGTGAATATTGCAGCTATTTATGAATCAATGAATGAGCTTGAACAGGCACTCAAGTTACTGCACAAGGCATTAGAGATACACAATGATGCTCCTGGTCAACAGAACACAATAGCAGGAATTGAAGCTCAAATGGGGGTCATATATTATGTGTTGGGAAACCAGACTGAATCCTATAATGCTTTCAAGAATGCTGTCTCGAAGCTTCGTGCCACGGGAGAGAAAAAATCGGCTTTCTTTGGTATTGTTCTGAATCAAATGGGTCTTTGTTGTGTGCAACTTTGTGAGTTAACTGAGGCTGCAAAATTATTTGAAGAAGCAAAGGTTGTTCTGGAAAAAGAATATGGCCCCTACCACCCTGAAACACTTGGGGTATATAGCAATCTTGCTGGCACATATGATGCAATGGGAAGGTATTCATTCTTATTTTGTGATTATCTTTTGTTGCTGTTATATACCCTTGTTTGCAAACCGTCAGAGATTATGTGTATATTAGACGCAAGTTAACTATGACAAAATTAATAGAGGCTTTATTTCATCATGGTTTAAGCGTAACAAATATTGAGTCCTATTTTGCTCCGCTTTTACAATGACAAATTATGGATCATATGTTGTAGTCCGTCTTACATATCCTCAAAAACGGTATATATCAAAGCAGACTGTATATCAGACGAGAAATGAAACCTGCATAATTTTTATGGTTTTTAACTTAGATGAAATAAAAAAGTGATTATGTGAAAGTTATTTTGTTCATGCAGTTTGATATTCTTTCTATTTCAGGGTGGATGATGCAATTGATCTAATGGAGTACATTGTGGATGCGAGGGAGGAAAAGCTTGGGACAGCACACTTTGATGTTGTTGATGAGAAGAGAAGATTGAACGAGTTGTTGAAGGAAACTGGTAGAGTTCGGAAGAGAAAAACCATGTCACTTGAGAATCTTTTTGATGTTAATACTTATCTATAAACAAACAACTTTGTCATAAAGGAGTAATGTGATGGAAACTCATTGCTTTAATGTAGCTCTAGACAAGCTAGGTAAAAAGCATAATTCATATTATGGAGCTGAAATTATATGGTTTATTCTTACTAAACTATGCTATATTTTATTTGATAGAAAATTATGCTATATTATTTGTAGATATAATGTACTGTAGTTAATAACAATATTTCGTGTAAGATTGGGAACATACAAAACTGACATTCTATAAAATACATTTATTTTAAATGTATTTAGAATTGTAAAGGGAAAAAATATATATTATTATTAAAAAAATGTATAGTGTTTAGTGTCTAATTTAATTGCCCCATATATATTTCCATCAAGATTAATAGTAAGATTTTGATGTGTTTTAATCACATTAAATTTTATGTTTTTTTTATAATATAAAACACAATCTATTTTAGTTTAATAATATCTAAAAGATTAATTTCCTAACTGACATCCAAACTCTTTGTTTTTTTATTTGAGATTCGAACTCCTGGGGCTTACTTCTATATATATTCTTATTTGGATGGGTCTGCACTTTATCGACACGGATGACTTGCATCGCAATCCGTTCGTTATTGCCAACTTGATTTAAAAATAAATCAATCAAGAAATCAAAGAAAAAAAAAGTCTTTTTAATGTATACCTTTTCAACATTTATATCCTTGATTTGAAATATTTAACAACTTCATCCACAGATAATCATCAATAAATGAAATATAAAATTTATGCAATAACAAACTATAAGAATCAGTTGATATAAGTTTATATTACCAATTGATAAAAATATATTAAAATATAATAAAAATATCTATGAACTAATATAGGTGTTTGAAATTTACTTTATCAAATCTAAAGGGTTTGTACATTTTTATTAACTATTAACTAATATAGGTGTTTGAAATTGATAAAAATATAATAAAAATATCTATTAACTAATATAGGGATAGTTTTGAAAAGTTAAAATTATTGTTTTCGAAAATATTTTTTTGGAATTTTTAAGAGATATATTTTCGAAATAAATTTATTTTTTAAAATTGAGATCTGACTAAAAAAATGTATGAAATATGTTTATTAAGGTGCGTTTGGAAATACATCTTCAAAAATTGAGAACATTTTTAAAATTTTATATGGTGCCTAAAAAATATATAGGATGCGGTATAAAAAATTATCATTTTTAAGTGTATTCAACTTTATTGCGCTATTTAAAACATATAAACAAATATTTTTTATAATAGAATGAAATATAAAGTCATCTTCTCTTATTTAAAACATATATCTAATCAAGTTTGTGACTATGAAAGAGAACCGGATTTAAGAAAACTCTCAATTCTTCTATCTTTTCATTTCTTTTTCTTAAAACAATTCATTGATAGAAGAATACAAAGTGTATTCAAAAAAACAATTACAACATAAAATAACATATCACAAAAACACATGCCAATAGAAATGGGAAATTCTCGACCAACACCAAAACTACCTATTGCAATCCAAAGGATTCGCGCACAAGTCTAGAAAACTAGAGTTGGAATAAGGAATTTCGCCACTACAAGTATGTAACACCCTATTTTTTTATTAAATATTTTATTATATTTTAAATGTTTGAATTATGCATTTTGACTATTTGTTTTATGGTTGGGTGTTGGCGTTGTATGTGTCCTTGAGTTAGTGGTATAGAGAGATGATAGAAGTGAGAAGAATAATTTAGAGTTGCTTTACTAATTAAAAATAATGTTTTATTTGTTTTATTATATTAATTAGTGAAAATAAAATAAATAGTATGTTTCGAGATTTTAGGGAGAATGAGGTAATTACATGAGGATAAATTAGGGTAAATGAGGGAAAATATAAATAGGAGAAATATTATTATTAGAAAAAAGGAAAAATTGGAATAAGAAAAGTCAGCTGCATCATAGATAAAAAATGGGGAGAAATGAGAAAGAGTGGGGAAGAAGAGGCAAAAGGATCAAGGGAGGAGAGTGAATGTTCCAATTCAGAATTTTTAAAAGAAATCTAAGGTAGGGGTGGGAATTGGGTTCAATAATATGGGTATGGATTGAGAGGTAGATTAAGGTTTAATCTTCTTTGTGTTAAGATGAATTGTTGATGCAATCATGATGATAATTATGTTTTCATGTACCATGGTATGAATTGAAATTGTGTGTGATGATGTGTTGTTGTTGTGTCCTTGAGATCAAGGAAATCCATGAAAATTGATAGAATATTGGGTGAATCAAGACATGAATCTAAGTAGTTGAATTATGAGAAAAATTGATAGATCGATGTTAATTACCATGATATATGTGATGTTTTCTTAGACAACTTATAGAGATGATTTTGAATAAAATTGGGATTGGTTTAGGGATTGAAGATGAGATTTTGGTGAAAATCCCGTAACACTGAAAAACTGAAATTTTTGAAAAATCCATCTAATGTTTTGATCATAACTTTTGATCTGTATGTCCAAATGACGCCCTGTTTGAAGCGTTAGAAAGTTAATAATCAGGGCTATAACATGGTAGTGGTTGATGAGATGTTTGAATATTATCTATGTATATACTATGACATAATTATATTTGATTGTTCATATGTTATTTTTAATTATGACATGCTTTGACGTTTTACCTCATAACTTTTGACTCGTAAGTCTAAATAACGCCCTGTTTGGAGCATTAGAAAGATAACGCTCAGAGACATAGAATAATAGCGATATGTGAAAGGTTTATATATTATTCCTATATCTACTACGTCTTTGGAGTTAATTGTTTATATGTTCGGTTGTTGAATCAATGCATTGTTGTGATAATGTTGTGTGATAATGATGTTGATATGTTGATGTTGTCATGATAATATTATTAAAGTGTTGATGATGTGGTTGTGATGTTACAAGATTATATGTTTATGAGTTTGCATATGTGAGTTACTGAAGTTGATGTTGTTGTTGGTTGTAGTAATATTAATTAATATTGTGTATAATGTATGATGTTATGAGGATATTGTTAATCATGTTATATATTGAAATATATGCATGCTATTTTGATGGTGATTATATTATTGGCGGCATACACGGTTAGAAGAGGGGTCAATGTGTATGTGTTGTTGTTGTGTGTTAAGAGCCCATGAATTCATGTTATCAGAACTTGGTTCTTTTTGGTGAGCCTCAATCCTATGGTGATGGATCAGGTGCGAATAGTTAATTCTTATTATGGGGTATTAGTGAAGCATTACATGTGATGGTGTTAACAAGTTTTGGTGAGCCTCGATCCCATTATGATGGATCGGGTGTGAGTAGTTAATTCCTATTATAGAGGATTAGTGAAGTATTACCTATGGTGATGGTAGCGATTTGGTATGCTCCGGTTCCAAGAGGGAATCAATCCTATGGTGGGGATCATAGAGTGAAATGAACCTGTGTATTCATAATTTGGTACCACATGTATGTTGAGTCAGTTGTTGATGCATTGCATTTGAGTTGCATTTGTGATTTCCTGGATGTTATGTTGTGTGGATGAGAATACTTGATATGCCTATGTGGTTTTATTTGATGTGTGATATTGTTAGATTAATCTACTTCCGATTGTCTTTTACCATTTTATTGAATCGTATTCTAACCCCTTTTGTTTGAATGTTGTCTTTACATGGGCATCGTACAAATACTCAGAAGTAGCACTATTGAAGTAAGTGGAAGATAGCCTTGGAGTTAATTTCATAGTTTATTGCTTTTATTTAGTGGTTCCTTACTTTGATCATGTAACAATGAGTTGGGATAAATGCTTGATTTGACTTTTGTATTGTTGTTGTCAAAGTTACAAACTTTTTGTGTTGTTGAGATTTTTAAGTTGTTTTGAGTTCATTTTCATACTCTTTTGATTATGATATTAAATGAATATTATTCTTCACTTTATTACCTCCCTGTTGCACCCTAAAATTTGACCAACATTTATTTACCCATCAAGTGTTTGAAGGTTGATACCTGATCGGGAAAATAGCAAGTGTACTATTTTTACCAATTGTAGTAATAAGGGAAAAGTCTCAAGTATCGATCTCGAGGACTGCGTAGTAATTAACGGAATTTTTAGGATTCAATTGAACAAAAGGTCTAGTGGTTTGTTTGGTAGCAGAGTAATATCACAAGTAATTAATCAATCTAAGAACAGTGTTAGGGGAGTGGAGACGACACGAGTAAAGACCCTGTATGATTAGTCTACTATACTAGTTATTAACCTTAATTTATCAGTTGGTCACTTTAGTTGCCTTAATTCCTTAATGGAAACCCTTTGATGATTTTCCTGTTCACTAATTCCTCAGTGTCCCTGAAAAACATCAAGCAATAGTTCCGACCATAAAATACGTGACACGGGATATCCTCATTCCTAAGCAATATCGACCGTGATACTATTTTGCACAAGTGTTAGGTTGACTTTCCAGACTAACGCCTAAGCACAATTCGAATTCTACTTTCCAATATGAATGCGAATAGGATTAATGCAAAATAAAATATATTAAGGTAAAAACATAGTTCTCATAGAATAATTAAACAAACGTCATTACATCGCACTAAGGACCACCCCCTAACAACTTGGGGTTTAGCTACTCATGTTCTTGGTAAACATAAAAGTAATTAGAATTAAAAAAGGAGAAGATCATTACAATGCAAGTTGAAATCCTTGGATCATCAATTGCTTCCGCTTTTGATCGATCTTCTGTTTCCAGCCGAACTCTCCTTTCCGTTGTCAATCCTAATATCAGTTCAAAAGTCCTCCCTTACTTTCTAAAATGTGCCTCTTATATATAAATTCAAATTATATAGCGAAATGTCTCAAATGCCCTTCGAAATAGGTCTGACAGCAAAAAATCAGAAAACAGAGAAATTTCACGTTCAGTGGCCTTGACACGGGCCGTGTTGTGCAACACGGGTGGCCGTGTCAGGCTGCTGGCTTCTTCAGGGCGTGTTCCTCTCCAAGGGCTGCAACATGGGC